GCACAGGTACGTGCAGGGCATCGCCCTGTGCCCCAGGGCTGCTCAGCACCATTCCCAATGGGAGCAGAGCATGCAGGGCAGGGACCTGGCACATCCACAGATGCAGACACCAATTGGTTACAAAGGTAGAAAGAAACATTTCCTGTTTTTATCGTCCTTGACGGACCTGGCAGCAGAAGCGTACTGCACAAACCGTGCGATTAATGTACCCCAAACAGTGGAAATTATCCTTGAAAGGAATAAATGTTGTAAATCTGAGGGGAAGCACCGGTATATATATTTAACAAATTAGTCTCTATATATTTAATGTTCACGTAGATAGGCAAAATGCTTTATTTTAGCGCTGCCATCTGCCATAAACCACCGTAACGTTAGAGGTGAAAACTCTAAACAGAAATATAAAACATCACCGAGAACCACAGAGCTCATAAGTTTGATTTTGTGGTGAGAATGGTCCACAGAACTCATTCTGAATGTCCTCGTAAGATCCTTTTTATAGCAGGTTATGAATCATCACATGATATCTTTAAATGGATGATCAATACTATATTTTCCCATAAAACGTTTGGTTTGAAATCCGATTTTAAGTGCATTAGAGTTTTTGTGCACCGAATGAGTGAGTGTCATAATAAATTGTCATCGGATACGAAAGAAATATAGCTTAGATTAATTGCCATATTTATTTATGAGTCTATAAAATACATTGTGAAAGTCCTGGCACATTTTTGGGATACCAGCTTGAACTTTCAAGAAAGTTAAAAGCATTAAGTGAGACAGAGAGTAGATTTATTATCGGAATGTTTTTAATTGCAGTTCCAACCAGACACAGGTATTAGAATGGTTGTGCCCTTAATGGCCACGTCTCACGTGTTTTTTCTTTAAAAATGATATACTTCCCATATTTTCATTGATTTTACGAGATTTATTGTAGATTAGCGCTGCCTGTGTGTGAACTCCCCAGTGGTCCCTGCCTCCCCAAGCAGCTGGCCCAACCCTCAGCACCTCCACAGCACGGCTGGAGGGGGACGGGGGGCACTGGGGGGTGTGGGGATGTATCCTGTGTGCATGGCACCGGGACCAACAGACCTCAGGGTGACAGCAGGGCTCCTGCTCACCGCTCCCTTCTCCAGGGGCAGATTCAGATATATTTGGAGCAGCAGGCTGAGCCCTTCACTCAGGCTTGAACTAAGGGAGAGGCTCCTTGGGGACAGCTGATTTGATGGGCTGGGATGAGGTGTCCTAGGTTAAGTGCTTTTGCTTTTTGGTATGAGCTATCAGAGCAGCTCTTTCCAATGTGCAGCAAACACGGCCGGGTTTTGGTAAATTACAAATGAAGGTAAATAAGGCGGCAGCTCCAATCCCCATGTTTAATGGTGCACATAAGCTGGTGATAACTCATGGAAAATAAGGCACCATCGCATGTAACCGGCACACTAATTAAAGCATAGATCCTGGAAATTACAGCGAGCAGACTAGGAAATGGAATAAAACTGTCATTCACTGCCACAGAACAAAGATGATGAACGATACCTGCAGTAATACAGATCAGAGCCTCCAGCTCAGAAGCAGCCCGCTCGCCCAGACTGCCCCTTCTCTCCAGCAGCACAGCAGCTGTGCAGAGGCCAAGGAGACACTGCATAGTGTGGTGTCCAGCAGCAGCAGGTGAGCCTGGCATCCAGCTCAGCTGTGCCAAAGGAGTGGTGGATCAACCTGCTGCAGCCTTTCCACAGTGGCCAAGCAAAGCAAAGGTCCACTCAAGGCCACCACATGGCCATGGCTCTATTGGCTGTCACTGTCCCTCTGTGCTCCCCACAACCCTCCCAGCACCGTGGCAGAGTCCAGGAGCATCCGACACCAGCAGAGCAAAACCATTCAGCTCCTCCAATTGCCATAGGTGCACAGCTAGCCAGTTTAACACCATTTTGATGATCCCTTCTGGAGTATGAATGTCCAAAGACAACCAAAGTTATTCCCACTGTATTCCAAAGTTGCTCTAAAAAAGCCTCCCGGCCCCTCATGTTTCTCCCCCAGCTCACAGGGCAGCACTTTATCCTCCCAATTACATCTTGCCCCACACCAGCGTGTGTCCCACGCTTCGCTGTGCCAGTTCTCCCCTCCGTCCTGAAAACAGTTCTATTTTCTGCTTGTATGCTAAGCAATTAAAATGCTTTATCTCCAACAAGATATTAATCTTAATATTGTCCTAATTTGTTTCATCTTTTTCTGCCTCTCATGCAGAAATCGGTCTTGACAATAGCCACTGAGATAAGGGCAGTGCCCAGCGAGCTGCACAATGCACCATCATATACACTATTTTAGTTTGTCAAAACAATTAGTGTTCATTTTGGCTTTATTCAGTTAAATCTACAATGACTGATCAGTATAAATTATGTATTAGGCTGCCCAGCTGTACTTGTTTATTCATGCATGGACTTGAAGAATTTTCATTTTCTCAGTACAAAAAAAAGATGCGGCCAAAAGAATCCCCCCGTATTCTAAAATATAAAGAGACTTTATTCTCCACCACATTTCTGCTGCGTGTTTTTGAAGCTGCTTTGTTCCTGCCCCTCTCAGAACGTTATTCTTCCTTCCCAGAGCCGCTGCTCTAACGCTTATGTCAATTAACTTATTATTTCCTTCGCAGCTACCGGCGCCTGTGTTTGTGTTGCTGCAAAGCACGCACTGCTCCTCTCACCCCTTCCAATTACCTCTAAGCAAAGAGGTATCACAGCTAAAACAAATGGTGTTGGTTGTAAAAGCACCAAAAATCACACTGTGGGCTGCATCTGAACTCTTGCCTTGCTTCAAGAGGAATGGCTCGGGGAAATGTGTACTGTTGTGCTCCCCTCTGTCAACAACAAAAGTTTGTGAATTGAGGGGATTGCTGCGTCTCTGCCTGTGCTCACAGTCACAGCCCTGGCTGGGCAGCTCAGTACAAGCACTGCACTGGGCACATGTGGGGACAGCTCAAGTGGGGCAGGGATGGCACAAGTTTGGATAAAGGGAAATCTGCAGTGACCACTTACAGCAGCAGTTCACCAGTTATGCTTCTCTGAGAGGCAGCAGAATGGAATCGAAGCTGTTTCCCTGCAATGAAAGTAGCAAAAAGCACAGAACCAGGCTGAGCTCAAGATGCTGCTCACAGATAGCTGGGGGAAGGCAGAGCCCTCATTGCTGCCGGCCACAGCCCGGGCCTAAGGGCAATTCATGGAGTAGCTCCCGGGCACAGGGAGGAACAGAGCGTGTGGTAAAACACTTCTGTAGGGCCGAGCACTGCAGGAGCACAGCCATGGATCACAGCTGGGCTCAGCTGAGCGTGCCCAGCAGAGATGCACTCTCAGGTTGGCTGCACAGCTAAAGTCGGCAAACGCAATGCCTTCTTTGGGCAGACAACACACGTGCTGGTAAAAAATAATTAAAAAAAAAATAAAAAATTGAATAAATTAACAAATGAAGGAAAAAAAATGGGGAAAAAAAAAAAAAACGGAAAAAAACCCTCAATTTTGCTGAATGAAGTGCTTTAGAACAAGTGGTTTTATTACTTTATAATTAGCATAATTTCCCCCAGAGGGATTCTCGCAATTAAATAATTAGCAGTAATGTTCCCCAGAGGTGCTCCGTCAGGACGCTCCCAGCCGCCCCGCAGCCCCGCGCAGCGCCCCGCCCGGCCCGGCGCGCAGCTCGGCAGCGCCACCCGTCGGGAGCGGCACCGGGCAGCGGGACGGGCAGAGCGGCCGCCGCCCGCCGGGCCCAGCGCCGGAACGGGGAAAAGTTGTCGGCTTTTCTTTTCTCTTTTTTTTTTTTTTTTCCTCCTTTTTCTCCTTTTTTTTTTTTTTTTTTCTTTTTCTTTTCCCCCTTTTAATTTTTAGTTTTGTTCGTTTCCCCCCGAAAGCAAATCGCGGCCGGGCCCGTCGCAGGGGGATCCCCGTTTACCACCCGCGGATGTCGCCTCGAAGGCAAACCCGCACGATGGCCGCTGCCGTCCGTTCATCGGTGCCACTGGGCGCTGCGGTGCGGGCAGGGCCGGGCTGCGGGCGGCCATCCATCCCTACCCGCCCCGACCTCTCCTGTAGGGAGGCACGACTCGGGCCCGGCTCCGCTTCGCTGCGGGAGTAGCCGGGGTTGGGACGGCAACAGGATCCCGTCCGGGAGTCTGGTGGAGCCGCTTGCTCACCGCCTGCCTTCCGCCCGAGCCCTGGGGAGACACGCTCGCTCAGTGCCGCGATTCCACCCTTTATCATTTTTTTTTTCCCCGGAGTCAAATTCGGATCGCTTAAAAAATAAAAGGAGCGGGACCAACGGCAAAACACTCGGTGCCCCCAATGGGACGGCACCAAGCGGCTGCGGGCGCTGCCGGCCCCTGCCCCGTCGCATCCGCTACCGCTATCGCTGCCTCTGCCCGCCGCTCCCCATCCCTACCCGTACAGCTGCCCCTGCCCCATTGCGTTCCCCCGCCGCTGTCCCTATCCCTATCCCTATCCCTATCCCTATCCCTATCCCTATCCCTATCCCTATCCTTATCCCTATCCCTACCCCTGCCCTGCCCGCCGCTGCCCGCCGCTGCCGGCAGCCCGTGACGTCAGCCCGCCCGCTCCTCGCCCACCGCGGAACGCTCGAGACCTATAGAGCAGAAAATAATGCACCAAGCGGGTCCGTGTCTTGCGAGCCCGACGTGATTTCCCCCCTCCTTCAAAAAGAGGAAAAAAAAAAAAAAAAAAGAGAAAAGAAGGGAAAAAAAAAAAAAGCCCCTTTGCACTTAAACTCTTTATACATGTGGGGTGGCTTTTTAAACTCTCTCTATCCAAACATATTTATTCAGAGCGATGGGAAGCGGGGGGCAGCCGATTTTATTTTTGTTTAACCCAGGCAGGGAGCCCCCCCCGCCTCAGATGTCGGGCTGCTTTTCTTAAGTGCAATCATCTATAATTGAGCAAAAAAAAAAAAAAAAAAAAAAAAAAAAAAAAAAAAAAAAGCCATACGTGGAAATGTGTGTGTGAGAAGGTGCATCCTGAAGCGGGGTTTAGTTACAATCGATCTTGGGGGGAAAATATTGCCTATGGTCCAAAAATAAGGAGCGGCTATGTCTTTCTCCCAGTTCGGATACCCCTACAGCACCACTTCGCAGGTAAGGCGAGTGAGCAGCACTCACTTTTGTTCAGATTCCGCTGCTGCCGTCCAGATGTCTGTTCCCCCTCCCTTTTTTTCCTCCCTTTCCCTTACTTAGAGTCTTTTTTTAAAAGGGCACATCTGGAGCCTTTTTTTAAAAAATGTGCGTGTGTGTTTATGTCTCGTTCGTGTCGTGTTAGGCTTAAACAAATAGCTCGCAGTTCGCACAGCGAAAGGCGTTTGGGAAACCGGTGCTTCCTGCCCCCGCTCCCCTTCCACCGCTCACTCGGAAGCGCAACAAACAAACACACGCGCGCTCCGTCCCTCCGTGCCGCGCTCCCCGGGCGCCGCTCCCCGCGGAGCCGCCGTCGGACCCCGCACCCCGGGGCGCCCCGCACCGCCGCACCGCCGCCCCGCGCCGCGCCCCGGTTTGGGTGGGACGGTTCGGGCGCCGCAGGCACGGCGAGGTGCGTGTGCCTCCCCCGCTCGGGAAGTTCGCCGTCCCTTTCAACTTAGCGCAATCGAGTGCCTTCGATTGCGTTAGCTGACATATTTACTGCTTTGTCTATTGTGGAATTAACTGTAATCGCAACTTCTTGCCTTGAAATCGATGCTAACGGACCGAGGGGGGCGGGCAGAGGGGAGCCGCGCGGATCTTTTGCCATTTTCGAGAGCGACCGTTCCCTCCGAGTTCCGCCCGCTCCGCTCCGCGCGTCCCCGCTCCCCGCGCCCGGAGCTCCCCCGCCCCCGCCCGCCCCCGCCGCTCCGGGGCTGCCCCGCGGCCGCTCAGCGCGCCCCGTCTCTCCGCCGCAGTTCCTGGTGCCCGGCAGCCCCGGCGCGTCCTGCTGCGAGCCCGCTCCCCGCTCCGGCCCGGATGCGTCCTCGGCGCCGGCCGCCGCCTCGCTGTGCTGCGCCCCGTACGAGAGCCGGCTGCTGGCGCCCGGCCGCGCCGAGCTCAATGCGGCGCTGGGCATGTACGGAGCCCCGTACGCCGCCGGCCAGGGCTACGGCAACTACCTGCCCTACAGCGCCGAGCCCGCCGCCATCTACACCGCGCTGGTGAGTGAGGGAGCGAGAGAGCGCCCGACGGCCGCGGCGGCGCGGCTCAGCCCTGCGGGGCCGTCGAGGGCCGGGGATGGGGCCGGGGTCGGGGTCCCACCGCTGCCGCTTGCCTTTGCAGAACCCCCAGTATGAGATCAAGGAGGGCGCCGGGACTCTGCACTCGGGGATCGCGCAGCCCGCCGCTTACTACTCGTACGAGCACTCCCTGGGGCAGTACCAGTACGACAGGTAACCGCGCCGCCGGAGCGCCCGGGGAGGCGGCCGGGAAGCCGGGCGGGCAGGGCCGGGGTGGGGTCGGGCACCCCTCACGCCGCTCCCGCAGGTACGGGCCGGTGGATTTCACCGCTTCGGCCCGGCGCAAGAATGCCACTCGGGAGACGACGAGCACCCTGAAGACGTGGCTGTACGAGCACCGCAAGAACCCGTACCCCACCAAGGGCGAGAAGATCATGCTGGCCATCATCACCAAGATGACCCTCACCCAGGTCTCCACCTGGTTCGCCAACGCGCGGCGGCGGCTCAAGAAGGAGAACAAGATGACCTGGTCTCCCAAGAACAAAGCGGGGGAAGAGAGGAAGGAGGACGGCACGCGGCACGACGGGGAGTACGGCGCGGGGAGCGACGGCCGAGGTAGGGCAGGGCGGGACAGGACGGGTCGGGCGGCGCGGAGAGGCCCCGGGCCCCGCACCTGCCCTGAGGACCCGCCGCCCCCTCCCCGCTGTGTGTTGAGCAGAGCGGAAGGGCTGCAAGGAGGACAAGGAACTGCGACTCAGCGACCTGGACGACCTGGAGGAGGAGGACGAGGACGAGGAGGAGGCGGGGAAGGCGGCGAAGGGCCGCCCCGGCTCTCTGCAGGAAGCCCCCGGCCCCGGCGCGGCTCTGCCCGGAGCCCCGCGGAGCGCCTGCGGCGTGCCCGGGCCGTGCCGCGCCTTCCCCTGCCCACGGGCCCCCTCCGCGGCCCCGGCCCCCGCCGCCCTCGCCCCGCCGCCGCCCTACGCGTCCCCGGAGAAGCCGCGCATCTGGTCGCTGGCGCGCACGGCCGGGGCCAACGCGGCGCGCAGAGGCAGCCCCGAGGGTCGCGGCACGGAGGAGGGCGGCGGGGCGGCGGGGGAGCTGCCCCCGTCCGCAGAGGCCCCGTTCCGGAGCTCCGCCTTCAGCCCCCAACCCGTCCCGCGGAGCTGCGCGTCCCACCGCGGCCAGGGGCAGCCGTGCCAGTACGCGGCGGGCGAAGGTACCCGCGCCGGCGGGGCCGCGGGGGCGGGGGGGACGGGGCGGACGGGGCTGCCGCCTCCTGCGCGCCCGCGGCCCTGAATCGTGCCCGGCGCCCCGGGATGCGGCGGGGCCGGGTCGGGCGGAGCCCCCGCGAGCTGCGTGTGTCTGTGCAGGCTTCGGGCGGGGCGGCGGGGGCGGCCCGGGAGGCGCCGAGCCGGGCGGGACGTGCCTGGAGCGGCTGCGGACGGCCTTCAGGCCGGTGCTGAGGAGGTGAGGTAGGTGAGGGGCCGCCCGCTCCGCCCCGCTCCCGGCGCTGCCTCGGCCGGGCGCGTCCCGGAGGTGCCCGTCCCGGGCCGCTCACTCCGCCTCTCCCCCTCCCCCCGCTCCCGCAGGGCCGCCTGCCCCTTCCTGAGCGCCGGCGGCGAGGCTCGGGCTGCAGCCAGGCTCTCGCCCTGAAGCAGGACGCGGTACTGCCCAGCGCCGAGCCCCCGGCCCGGGCACGGCGGGCACCGCTGCTCGCAGGGCGGGCGGAGCGGCCCCGGCCTCGATGCCGCTCGTTAAATACGCGCGATTGATGTCTTTACCAAAACCAAGACTCAGCTTTTCTCCCGTTTCCCCACGTCGTGCTTTTGTTGTTATTTTTCCCCCAAACCCGCTGGTTCCATTGCTCGGAGCGGCGGCGCACGACGCGCAGACCCCGGCAGCACCGCCCCGGCCGCGCCGTGACCCCGCGGCACTCAGCGCTGCCCCGGGCGGGGACGGGGCGGCGGCGGTCGGGCGTCCTCGGTGGGTCCGGGCCGCCGCCTCCGCCCCGGGCAGCGCTGCTCTCCGCGGGACGGCCGAGAAAGGGAAACCGCATCTCTGCATTCTTTCTGTTTAATTAAAAGTGTCATCAAACACTTTGTGTTCGGACTAATAAACCAAGCAGGGATGAGGAAAGAATGTTTCTTTGTTCCTGTTTCTAGAAGCAGTGGCAATAATTTAAATTAATAACTGCGGTAATTAAGAGGTCATCTATAGATCAAGCCGATACCTGCCATTTCCAAGTTCACCGGGGTCAGCATTTACATTAAGTCATTTGTGGTCAATAGAGTCCAATGAATTCTGCCTTAATAAATCAGGGAAATCAATCTTGAATATCGAGTACACTTCTCTATGTTTACCCAAGGTACCGAAGGCAGCGGAGGGAACTCCTGGGGGTGCGGACGTGGGGCTGGGGCAGCAGAGGGACAGCGGGGCCGGGCCGAGGCGGGGTGGGAGCTCTGCGGTCCCGGGGCGGCCCCGAGCGGCGCGGTAACAGCGCGCTGTGCCGCAGTGACCCGCAGCTTAGGGTAGGGGAAATTAAGCTGCGAAAAGATAAACATTATTTCAAGTGGGATTTGAAGGATTAGGGCCTGTAATAAAGAGTATTAGACCCTTTCGGAAGGTTCTCGCAAGGCGACTTGGCCGCTCCTCCTGTGCCACCGGCGGGGCCGGGTGCCGCCCCGAGGAGCGCAGCGCGGGGTCCCCACGCGGCTCCATCCCGGCTCTGCGGGGACGGAACGCCCGGAGCCGCCCGCGGGAGGCGAAGCCCCGGAGCCGTCCCGGCAGCGCCCCGAGGGACGGCGGGGGCTCGGCGGGGCCGGGAAGCTTTGGGATGCTTCTAAGGCAGGCACGAAGGTACCCTCCGGGAGCCTTAAGACTCGTGTTTTTTATTACTTTGCCTCCCTTCTTATTAAAGGTCAAGCGAGCGAGATGCAGATTATCCCGCCCGCCCAGGACTCCTCCGCAATCTGTCACGCCGGCAAGATATGTATCGCAAATCTCTCCAAATATAATCTCCCGGAATCATATTCCGAATACTGTTTTGATTAAAAACCAGAGCGCGGATTGACGGAGAACAAATACCGGGAGCGGAGCACGGAGCGGAGGATCGGCCTCGGCGGGCTCCAGAGGAGCGTACCGTCCCGGTGCCGTAAGGCCAACAACCGCCCGGAGCGAGGAGCGGACACTGCCGGCCTCCCCCCGCCGCTCCCAGTGCCGCCGGTCCGGCCCGGGTGCCGCGCACACTCCGCTGCGCCCGCTCAAAGGCCGCGCCGCACTCGCTAATGAACTTTCCTCCGAGACAATTAGGGGCTCGGCCGGGGCGGGGGCCGATGAAAGGCCGCCTTTGTGCGGTCGAGACGGCGCGGCTCGGCTCGGCCCCCCCGGGCTTCCTGCGGCCCCGCGGTGACCCGCCCTGCGGCACGGCCCGACGGGGGCAGCGGCACTCCCCGGGCGGCCCCTCCGGGCTGCACCCCGCACACGAGAGCCGCTGTGCCGCTCCTCCCGCCCGCGGCTGCTGCGGTCAGCAAAAGCGACGGCTCGTTATGGGGTGTCTGCCGGGAGGGGGGGAGAAAGCTGTTGAAAGACGCTCCGGGGAGACGTGAAGGAGGGCTCGAGTTCTGCGACTGGGTGGGAGGGAGATGGGGGAGAGCTGGAGAAGAGCAAAATTCCCCACTGCTTTCCCCAAGTCCCCCACGCAGCCCTCGAGCACCTGCTCGCTGTCTCTCCTGTACCAGCACAAGCGCTCCTGTTGTCCCTGGGGTCATGGCCCTGGGCACAAGGCACAGCCTGGCTCAGTGCCTCCTGGCCTCATGCTTCCTCTTGCAGGAAGGTGGGAGAGGAAACCTTCACTCACTCCTGCACCCCACACCAGGACAGCGGCTGTGACAAGGAGTGGGACGTCAGCCCTCTTCCTGTCTGGTGCCCTGCTGTCCTCCCCCTGAGGGGCAGAGCTGCCCAAGGCAGCAGGGACAATTCTGCCATCCTCACAGGACAGAGGAACCCAGCCCTTGGAGATCCGTCCTTAAAGGAGCAGAAGTTGTAGAACTACATGGATGTTGAAGTAATGAAGCAATGAACTGCAGCAATTGGTTCAACACAATCTCAAAGGCAGCATGAGCAGCTTTTGGGCCAAATGCCATTTCTGGCCCAAAGCATCTGCTGGGGAAAGGCACTATATTGCTTGTGGCTTTTTTTTTTTTTTTTTTACCTAACGTTCATCTGAAAATAAATTGCAGGCCAGAACAGGTGGACAACATTCTGGAATGATTTAATGATTTATTTAATCTGGATTCTCTTTCAATCTACTTAGCAGGATGAATACTTTTTTTAGCCCGAATCCAAAAGCTGGGTTTTTCATCTAAAGAAGAGAAAATACCCCAACAGAGCTCTGCTGCACCAAGGTGTGCTCCCCAGCACTGCCTGCAGGACATTGCTCATTCTGGGGCTAATGAGAGCCCCCAGAAAACCAGAAGATTTTCTTCCTTGCCATCTGCACAGTGCTTCAGATGGTATCTGCTCTTCTTTGTGCAGTGTCTGGGCAATAAGACAGCTGATCTTAGCACCAGGCACTGCGCCTTCAATCTGAATATGGGCAGCTTCAGCTTGTGAAGACAGCCACTCTCCGGCTCTCCCTCTCCATAGGGCAGCCTGGGGCACCAGTGACCAGAGTGTGACCAGAGAGCAAGTGCTGCAGCACAGCACCAGCAGACACGAAACCAGCGTTTCCCATCCCCGTGCCCTGGGAACCTGGCCAGGCTAAGGGCCTTCCAGCCCCTGCCCTACTGAGGACATCGCAGTCACCTGCCAGCTGCTTGGCTGCAGTGTCCGTGTGGAACAGCAGTGTGAAGAAGCATGGGAGTTGAATCATGCTTAACCCCAAGTGTAACGCTGCAGCCACGAGCCCTTGCCTGGCTTGGATGACCCATCCAAGTAGATTTCTCTATTTTAAAGGCACATCATCCACGTAAAACACCTTCAAGATGCCCTCCATAGCTAGCTGCTTAATGGAACGTCTTAAATATATCCACCAGCCATGAAACAAGCAGTGCTGGAGCTCCCTGCTGCCACAGCCAATCCCACTGCTGCTCATTATGGGTCACAGAAAAATATCACCTCCACATCACTGTGTTCAGGTCTTCCCTATGTGAACCACGAGAGGCCCCGGACAGTGACATGGTGGGTAAAAGTTCACACAGACCAGGATAAGGGAACGTCTATAAAGAGACATAATTTCTCAAACCAAACACCAAATGATGGATTATCTTTTTTTAATCAGACACTTGTATGTTAAATATTCCTGTGAGCCATCAGCACCAGCAGGTAAAGCAGTGCTGGCTGCCTTAGCTGGGGGAAGGCAGCTTCTGCCAGCAGGACTTAAATGTCCCATACCTTAGCCTCTGCCAAAAGGAGCTGATGCCTGTTCCCCCACATCACGCCCTCACTGGGGCATCTCTCAGAGGCACTGTATCTAGGGCCCATCTGCCTATGAAGGGTCAGAATTTACCTGCAGAAAAATCAATTGCCAGTAAAACTCCTCCTTCTACAGTATCCTGTAGAATTCAGAAATGTAACATATATTACTCTTCTCCCTGAACTTTCCCATAAAATATTGGCTTACTCAGTATTCTGTGGCAGGAAATTAATAAGACTTGTCCTAGTTCCTCTCAATTGCAGCAATAATATAACCTCACTTTCTCTTCACACACGTTGAGAACTGGAGCTACAAATATAATATGTGGTATTCCATAAATGAATCAGATGTAATTACAGTGTAAGAATGCAGTCGTAGGGGCAATTGTATCTGGAGCCCAACTCCGAAAGTTAATAACAGTGATGGGCTCTCTGTCACTCCCTCACCCCAAATCACAGAGCCACACTGCATTACACAGTGCCCCAGGAGGAGCTGGCTCCTTCAGCCTTACCCAGAGAAGATGCTGGGCCCTGGATTTGCTTTCAGAGTGCTCTGGGTTTTCTTTGGTGAAATAAAATTTGGGGCCAGATTTCTTATGGAAACACTATGCTCCTGTAGTCACCATGAGAGAACACCACCACATGCCCATCATTTCCTAATTTGTTAAATTAAATGATGTATCTCAGCCAATTGCAAACATGAGTATCCATGCTGCTGCCTCCTTACATAAACTGTGAAAGAAGTCTGTGCCACCCACAAGCAGAGCAGCCCCAGAGCATCCTCTCCAGAGCTCAAGGGACCAAAATGGTTCTTCAACAAGTGTTGGCACCAAAAGTAGGGGAGCAAGAAATGAAACCCGCACACCAGAATGGTAAGGAAATTT